AAGCTACTAATTGACAAACTTACCGGTCATGAATTTTTTCAAGTTTTTGGCTAAGAACAGCAAATATAATGGGCCAAATTATATTAAAAGCGCTTGGGTGCACTGCAATTAGAAGAGTTTAAACACTCCTCCTAAGATCAAACTTTGTTCTAAAAATCAAGAAAAAAATCACATTTTTCTTTATTTAATTGATCGTAACTTTTTTCTTATGCAAAATTTGACAAATAATGTTTCTAAAATTGACAAATAGATGCCAATGAACAAAATAAGTAGTTATGTCTTGTTATGGAGCCATTTCTGAACCTTACCTTATACCCTCAGTAAATGTCACAAATTCTATAATAATTCAGACCCTATCGGCCTTTTGCATTTTTTATGTGCTATTTCAGGGGAGTTTATTTCGCTCCCACTTGCTTCGAATTTTCCTAATGGCATTGTAATTGCCGAGAGAATGATAGCATTGTCCAAAACACCTAACAAACTTCAAACTCGTCTTGAGGCAGAAGGGTTAACAAGGAAGCGGTCTATTTGGGTAAAGCTTGATGAGGCCAGTTTGCCTGATTTCCCAAAGTTATCAGAACCAGAGTTGAGAGATCTTACCATGGCTGTATATCAGCTGAAACAAGCAAAATCCTACACCAAAGAGCACTTATCTGAAGATGGTCAGTATAAACTTATGCTATGTAGGGAGAAACCTGACTAGATCAAAGTTCAGATTCGTTCACGACATGTTTCTGCGAAGGTGTATGTCACGTAAGCATGTATAGTTTGTCTATAAATGGTAAGTTTTAATTTGAGTTTGTTTTGCGGTGTAAGGACTCTTAATTGTCCGCACCACTGGGCGGATATACGTCACGGGCTTGACCGGTGGTGCACGGAATGGACACTTGTTTACGGTCCACAGTTTTGTGAGTTCGTGTAGCCGATATGTAAATATAGCTGTTTCCGATATTGTGAACAAGGCACAGACGACAGACTGCGGTAAGTTATGTTTCTTTCTTCCGTTTCCATATGTTCTTTTTTCTGCCATTATTTTATCCATGCCGTCAAATCTATCGGGTCAAGCAATCGAGGTGTCGGTGCGCTCCAATCATGCGTAACTATTGTTGATACATGTAGTACACTTGTTTTGTGGTGTGTTTCTGCTATATCATTATAATTTCATACTTCCTATCGATTTCTGGTGTATTTAGATAATATAAACATAATAAATTGTTGTGTGTAGAATTATTTAATAAATATAGGGTTCTTGTCCGTTTAAAAATTCTATGGAAGCCCTGAGCTAGAGCTATAGCGTTAGTTGGAGTGTGTACGCGCACTGGGTAAAAAAAGTATGGAAGCCGTGAGACGCCAACTTCTATGAATTGTGCTGAGTCGTGTTTTTATAGCCATTTGGAGCCGCACACTTATCCCTTTATCTTTATTATATTGATTTACGTATATTTACAATATATTAATGAATATTTATATTATTGATAATTAATTATTAGTTAATTAGTATGCCAGGTAAGAGTGAATCTGTGTGACTACAGCATTATTTTCAACTATGTATTATTGTAGCTTCACATGACGGACTAGGAGTCTCAGCTATCAAGCCAGGACCAGTCAGCTGTGCCAACTCATTGTGATTCCAGTGTCAGGACCGACCGGATGAGTTCTCTTCACCAGGGTCAAGGTCAGCATGGAATACATGTGTTGGGTCGTTACGTAGGCCAGGGTCAGCGACTTGCTTGGAGGCTGAGTCACAGTATATCTACTATTGGGATGGCTGTCGTGTCAAGGACACTAGAGTGTACATCCCAGCTTTCCTGTCGTGTCTTGGACACCAGTGAGTTTGCCAATTTGGGCGTTTCAAGCAAGCATGGTGCTGCTTGATGTGTTTATACCTCTTGGCTCTGGATTGAGCGTGGTTGCAGGTTAGCGACCGTCTTGCACCGGAACTGTACCAGGATCCCATTCGTCGTTGTGTGTGTAGCTACAGACTGTAACTTGTAATAATTGTGTTTGTGAATGAGTGAATTAGTGAGTGTGACGTGTGGGTATTATAGGTTTTTTTTATTTAATCTCTTTATTGTCATCATTGTAAATAAACATTTGTCATTGCAATCAATCTTTTCGGTGTTCATTTCCCGGATCGCTGACCGACGCTCGTTCCACGTTAACAGTGTACAATCTTTTGATTGAATATTCTAATGGAATGATCCCAATATCAGGCGGGTATTGTCAATGTAAGGTTGGTGCTAATGTAGTCAGCCGCTGTGCCCACATTGCATCTGTCCTATGGTATCTTTCTTATGACCGACACCAGTCTAATACTGCACAAACAACTGTGTCCTCAGGTTTCCTTAGTTGCGTTGATGACACAATGACGGTGGAGAACTGGTTACTGATTTTACGGTATCTGCGTTTGTGCTGACATAACAAGAAAAAACTCATGTGTATTTTGTCCTTATTTATTATACACATACAAACGATATCTAACACAACAGAATCAAACTAGCTGTTGTATGCGTCATTGCCAAATACAAGATCTAGACATTAAACTCCTATTTGTTACGGATAAAATTGATGAAATACATCTGTATACTTGTACAATGTATTCAACAAAACATAAACAACTTAAAGGGACTAAATGGTTATATTTCGTTATTTTGTTCATGCGTTTTATATCGGGCAAGCGTTATGATACCTAAAAGTAGACTATTCACCAAATTAAAGCACTTTATGGAAATAAATTGATTGATAAAGATTGTCAGCGTCAAACTAACCCTGGTCGGCATTCCCTAAAGTGTCTACCATTTAGTCCCTTAAGTTAGTAATCATTCATTTCAATGCAGAATAACCATTTATCTAACTGACAAATAAACTTGACTAAAGCTTTGATTTGAACATATGAATACGAATTTGTAAAGCGATCAATCATTTCAAATAAAAGTGAGGCAGTACAAAGATGTTAAGATGAAGCACAAAGAAAATTAATGCGATGATGATTGAAATTAATCTTTTGCAGGGCAAATACAATGTCAAAAAGTAAAGGAACGAGCCTCAAACACGTAAAGCTTCATATCACATACAAAATAAAATATTTATCAATTAGATCGCGATATGTCATGTGTAAAAATACTCCATGTTTGTCTGTGATGTACGCTTCTCATACAACTTTATTGAAAGCTGCCCTTGTTGGTTTCAGTATAGGAAATGATCACGGAAATTGGCTATTGTAGGAGAATATACAGTGACCCTGACTTTTTAAGGATAAGTCACCAACAAAATATATATGATGGTGCAATTGAAGGACCTTGCAAAGTCTTTGATCTGATTTTGATAAACAAAATTTTTCATAGGTATATCATTATGCTGTTGACGAATATGTAGTTGGGCAGAAACTCCTGCATTTGTATGAATGCGTCCTGCGTATATGTTTTGCTTTGATTTGGACTTTTACGTGTCCGTAGAATTCACAACCATATATTTGCACCACCGTTTACCTTTCTTGGAAAGGAAAGTTGTCGAAAGCAGTGAAAGGCGATATCTCAATTAGGATTGGGTATCGTGGTGTACAGAGTGGGGAAATCAAATATGTTTATAGAAGGGTGTTGGCAGTTTGTCAAAATCTCTTTTTGAGTTCTTAAAAATCTACTTAACATTAATTCCACTTCCTTCTAAAATAATCATTATCACAATAAGACCTTGATTTGAAAGTACGAACAATGGTAAGAAGATTCGACAATGGCTTGGTTAAACAGTTGAAAAAAAACACACACACATAGTTGCCACAAAAACAACACAAAGTTGCCGAGATAACAGCACACACATTGCCACAAAAACAATCCACATAGTTCCCACAAAAGCAACACACACAAGTGCTACAAAAACACACATTTGTCAAAAATACCACACCACACACAAATTTGCTATAAAACAACACACACATTGCTACAATTAACACAGTTGCCTCAAAAATAATACACACATTGCCACAAAACATTTAGTTAATACAAGGGTCATAAAATGGTCCCTTTAACCCAATCGTAGAAATGTATCGTCTTTCACTTCTGAAAAAATGTATGACTGGTTTAATCTATCCAAGAGTGCGTTGTGGTAACCTACATCGTGATTGTTAAGAACAACAACTCTAGTAGAAATGTTGTACTACCTTGTGACTGTAAAGAACGACAACTCTTGAATCTTTACGGTTTTTTCGTAATGGATCGTATCTCTTTCCATGCATATTTTTTTCTGAAAAAGGTTCGTGATGTTTGCAAATATTTCACCCCGATAGCATCAATTTTACACATCATAAAACTAGAAGTCACAAATACAGTAACTAATGAGGATTTCGGGAATATTTATAAACTTGTTAACATTTGTATATTATTTGTATATTATGTATATTAGTTAAAAAATAAGGTAGCGGGAAACAGCTTATTTGAATTTTTCCTGAAATTATTGGTAATGTCGGATATATCAGGTAGAGTAGTTTAAAAATTAAAAAAAAAATGCTAAAAAACAATTAAAAAAAGCATTTTTCAAACTACCACTACAACGTTATATAAGAAATTTCTTTGTTGGACTAAAAGTCAACTATATTAGTTGAAAATAGATATGTATGTTTTACATATATAAAGGTTTAACTTGTCAATACGATATTCATCGGTTAAGTAAACTCAATGCATGAATATAATATATATATATTGTATGTTATATCGACAGTGTGGTCCAATATTAGTTCTGTATTCTAATAAACAAATTTAAGTAATATTTTGATCTATCTGTTGTTTATTTGTCTGTCCTGTCGTTATTACTCCATTGATCATATATAGTCTTCTTTGCTACATATTTTGATTTCAGGAATAATACTCAGAGATCCTGACTTAATTGATTTTTTTACAAATAACTTCAATATTACACTAAACATACAATGTGGTACTTGGATTGTGTATGATATTCTAATCCACTATGTAATTTCATTCTATAGCGTTTTCTCAGAGTGATTTGCTCTAAAAACCACAAACAGAGAAATGTTTCTCCAAACAATAAGCGCTGACAAGGCCATTCGGTGTCATCACCACACAGTGACCTTGACCTGGGTCAGGGTTGCCTGGCGACCAGAGGGAGCTGTTAATGGCTGAACCGTCATTGTGCTGCCATTTCATGGACAAATATCTACCGGACACAAACAAGTGAGAGTAGCCAAGTTCTGCAAAAATGAGAAGGAAATATTTGTGTCATGTTTCATGTTTTGATACAGAACAATATCTTTTAAACAATTAGTTCTAGAATGTCATTAAAATAAAATAAACAGTATGAGATATAAAAAAGCCATTAAAACTAACCAATATATTTGACTGGCAATTCACCTGCCTAACATGATAGTTTCATGAACAAAGAATTCGATCTAGGAATATCATATCATTAGAATTTACTTATCATTATTTACCTCTGTTTATGACTGAGTGACCAATACTTATCTAGGTCAGAGGATTGATTGACCAATACTTACCTCGTTTTAGGACTGACTGACGAATACTTACCTCGGTTTAAGAATGATTGACCAATACTTACCTTGGTTTAGGACTGCCTGACTAATACTTACTTCGGTTTAGGAATGATTGACCAATACTTTCCTCTGTTTATGACAGAGTGACCAATACTTAACGCAGTTAAGGAATGATGGACCAATACTTTCCTCTGCTTATGACAGAGTGACCAATACTTACCACGGTTAAGGAATGATTGACCAATACGTTCCTCTGTTTATGACAGAGTGACCAATACTTAACGCAGTTAAGGAATGATTGACCAATACTTTCCTCTGCTTATGACAGAGTGACCAATACTTACCGCGGTTAAGGAATGATTGACCAATACTTACCTCGGTTTAGAAATGTGTTGTATATTAATGTGTTTTTATCCAAATTCAGATGTGTGGGTTTACATCCATTGTATCATATTGATTGTTTACCTAAAAACCTGTTTATGATTATTTGTGTAGATAGTGCTTGGCATATTTTTTTTAGAAAGCTCGTTACAAGAATGACTTGTGTTTTTCCGGAAGTTTCTAAATCTAGAAGATTTGGTTATTAGAAATACCAGGGCATTTGCGGAAGTTTCCTTAGACACATGTTACCAAGCTAGGTACTTACTAGTCTAGAATCATCCAGAAAGGAACTTTCTAGAAACCTTTAGTATATATAAACATGACGGAACTGAGCCTGAGCAGCCTTTTGAAGTATTAACGCCTTGAGTGAGTTTACTTTGAGACTTCAGTCTTGGAAATGTAGACTTTAACAGTGATTCAGTAATAGTGTCTTGTGGACTTATAAATACCCAGTGAGGAAACCATTCTTGGATCATTCTATAGTTATCCTTGGGTGTTTTTGACAATATATTGTGAATTCTACTGGATTTGGAGGATTTCCACCGAAAGATAAGTTCTGACTTTTGATTTATTAGTGGCTAGCTCTGTACACCATCATAATAATTGTAACTTTAATGTAGAATTTGTTGTTAATAAATTGTTATAATGTAAACATATATGTTGGGTTTAATTTCGTGAACTTTAATTCCTTAACGAAACCAATGATTGACCAGTATTTACATCGGTTAAGAAATGATTGACCAATACTTCAATCAGTTTAGGAATGACAGTATATCTCTTACCGCGGTTTAGGATTTGTGGGTAATTTCTTTTCCCACTTAAATGTTGATTGACCAATACTTACCATGTTTTGCTTGGCAATTGTCGTCAGAGGAGCCTAAAACAACTGTATTTATATGTCGATTAATCCATAAACAGATACAAATAATTCAACTTAGGTGTTCAAACATGCAGGTTGATGAAAATTATGGAGAAGTTATGTGATGTAAAAGCTGGATGTGTTTGGTGTTCGATAGTTGGCTTGTTGGTTCCGTTGTTGCATACCTTGTTCTCATTTGAGAACACTTGACATTACTTCCTTGGATTGGCCAAGGTTTACGTGGCGGGTGTCAAAGATGAAGCAGACGACGCTTACCCTTCCGAAATAACTGGTCACGTCGTATTCGCAAACGAAAGCTACGTATACAACAACCAATAGACAACATAGGAAGCTTCAAACATGTCCAACTTCGTATCACACAAAAACGAAGAACATCTCTCAATGACATTTCTGTGGTATCAGTGTTGTATCCATGGAAACCCTGTATTACAAGTTTGTGTAAGGACATTTTGCAATAAAATCCTGACACTGGAATAAGCTATTGAATAAACTTCGACATGTTCAAACAATAAGTTAGAGATATTGGACTATTGCTATCTAGGGAAGGAAATTCACCAAAGGAAATTGGAGTTATCATACTTGTTATAAAGCTTAGTGAAAAGCTATCAATGGTGGTTTCGTTATTGATAAAGATGGATATAAGAGGTCGATTTCCAACTCATCATTAGTACATGTGATGGTGAAACTGGAGACTTTTCACTGACTTTGTGACCTGTTTCGATAAGCTCATTCATAAATTAAACCAGGGAACAGAAGGGTTAGAAACACTAAAGATTGGTCTGTTGAAGATATTGCCACAACGATATGCAAACCAGAAACTCGATATTTATATATTTTACTCGTACTTAACATTGATGAAAAAGTATATAAACTGTCATTTCGAGATTTATGATATCAAGCGAAAAAACTATCAAATATCATCCATATGTCAAACACGAAAATTGATTAAAAGTTAAAGTCTATTCCTACCCAGTCTAACGTTTCCGGCGATGACATTCTGTAGACTCAACATGTCGGATGCGGAGTCGATCTTGATCAGCCATGAATGTTGTTGCATACACTCCTTGGAAGCACTCTCCTGATTCATTCTGACTTCGTTCACTTTATACATGAACCTTCCTTGTTGAATTTGACGGTAGCCAAGTGGCGTATATTTACCTTTAAGTTGAAATCAGAGATTCAATCAAAATCTTGGTTAAAAATGATGATCCTGTAACACTATTGATTAAAATTGTCTCCATCGGGGATTTGGACCTGGTGCGATATTCATCAGCAAGGTATCGCCTGCATTAACTTTGATGATAATGGATAATTTCATGGAATGCAAGAAGTGGCTGAGAAACTAGTTACGGATCAGGAGCTTTTGTTCTGTTAGCGGATTAAATCAATTTTGTATTGGAGAAACTGGTTGTTTGAATCTTTGGAAAACAGCAATGATATTGTACATAACCCAGTGTATGTTGAACGACGCCTGCCATGTTTCAGTGGTAGGCAATATCATAAACTATGGCTAAAAAATCACAAAGCAGTATTACTGTTGATTAAGTTCATCAATTCGTCTGTAACTTATAAGGTTTAATGATTTTACTAATACAATATTACTACTGCTAGGAAGAAAATAGTTTATATTTGCAAGAAATAACATAATATCCCAAACACCTCATAAGCATCACATTCCCCTTACATTGTGACATGAATATCATAGAAGATACTGAAAATTATTTGGTGGCTTTAAAACAAACCAGAAATATAGGAAGTTCTCAATTACTCAAACTAACTGAACGCCCTTCATGATTCCATTTCAAAAATATCTTTTAGAACCCTTCATTACATATCAAGTATAGTTTGATTTATAAATAAATTTTTCAAAGGACTTTTACACGTGAATATCTTAACATCTTTATTTAATGTGGAACAGCATATGAAGCATGTTCCTGATAATCATTAAACCTAACGTCTCTCCACCGTTATTATATGGAAATTTCATTTGCCATTTAATCCATAAAAACGGGTACTTTGTACATTTGTGGTGATTGATGAAGATTCATGTTCAATCATATATATAGCTAACCTTTGTTGACAAAGAATGGCGTCATTTCGGCAGAAAATGCTGTGTATATTGTATGCATTGAGGAGAACATACTACATTTCTTCTGGATCATATCAAAGTTGAAGAAACGACATTCCTTGTCCATGTGGCATAGTTTACCGCACGCTGGAAGGTTTTTTGACTTTGTCTGAAGCACAACACGCTGTTTATAATCTGGAGTTGGTAATACTGGCACCCTGATGAAATCTGAATTTCGCTCTGCAATAAAGAATTATATTTCAAAAATAAGCAAGTTATTTTCTATTGCAGGGATATTGAAGGTAACGATAATAGAATAATTGACAATAATACCTTATTTTCTCTGTGAGTTATCAAAGAATTCAATCTGTTGCCGTCTGGTAACGACAGATGTATATACTAAACAAAGCATGTAATATCCAAATATTTTTAGAGAAAGTTATAGAAATCGCAATTTAAAAAAGTAATTAATTTCTTTTCAGTTTTCAAGGTACCAAGGTCCAAAGGATAGATTTTTCGTGTTTGTGGTTTGCTATTATATAAAAAATCATGTATATCTTATATCTTACATCTTATATTGAGAAAGGAAAATAATTCATTAGCGATGATGTTCAATACCTGATTCCATAACTTTGTAGCAACCACTGAGGTCAAATCGAAGACAATTGCGTGAATTCTTGCTTTGGGGAAAGATTCGAAGGTACCGAGCAGTGATATTGGAAACAAGGTTCGACTTCACCAAGGTATTGTTATCATAGTTTCCGGTAAATATCTACCGTTTTACAAGAAAACAAAAATAGGAAACAAAAATACTAATATATGTACCCGACGCAGAACACATGCTTATAGACTGTAACATGATGTTTGATACTATTGCAACAAATCAAAACAGATTGTATTTTAAGAAGCAGATATTGTTAAAATGTTAATTTTTCGTTTTATTTAACGAGCTTGATACTGCAAAGCATCCAGAAAATTAAAAGTTCAAATATGATATAAACCATTTATTTGACCAGGTTTGTAATATTGTATTATTGAAGACATTTTAACAGATTTTGCCAAAATTAGAAAGATTGTTTATCTCTACTTTTTGACACCCTAAAAGTTTTCAAGAAGATAATAGATGAGTTTGAAATCTGTGATAAGTGGTGACCTTAGCAACCAGAGTGCGTTAAAAATTACCAGATCATGCTGTCAACTACATCATGAAAATGAAAACCACAAGCGAAATTTCTTCAAAACGTCATTTAAATAGACTGGTTGACACAAAGTATACAAAAAGTGTATGTGAACACAAAAGTGTCAGACGTTATGTTGGAATTCATTTTATATTGTAATGTGACAAATATGCTTAAAATTATCCTTCTGCTAATCCCATTTTGAAAAAGAAAGAGTGTCGATACAGAATACCGACTTCATCACACGAATAAAAAATGGATATATCATGAGCCTTACGGGAATAGACATCAAATTATTTGACAATTTTGATGAGTTTAATATTACATCGACACGAACATTTGTAAGATTTTTTTGAATAAATACATAAAAATCTTCTTAAAAGACAAACTTATTTCGACACAAACGGTACGTATTCATCATGACGTAATTTCTTAATGAGGTCACACCGGTGTTACTAGACACGTGTCGCATGATATGTATAGCTTGCACGTATGGCATAACATAACATGTTCAGAATACCGCATTTTCCCTAACCGCAAACTAAAACTTATGTACATATGTTGTATTATCTGTGAAAAAATTATGAGTTAACATAGAGAAGACGAAACACATCCTCAGATACAGGAATTTGATGCTGAAATACAAATCTCTCTATATAAGGTTATATGAGGTTATATTAAATGATACTAATACACATTTATGTCCTTGGAACTGACAACTGAAATAAGCTAAGGTGAGCTAAAACTTATCGTGATCAAAAATCAATGACAATCTTACCTATTATTGTAATATAGTCTATAAGAAAATACTTTTATTTCATGATATTCAGTATCAATTTGTGAAAACAAATACACTAATCTTCTGTGTTCACTGCTGAAGTCAAGCGTACCTTCGGTTGGTTGTTTTGTGAAGTCACTATAGTCCATGTGTTGCCATCAATGCTGTACGAAATGTAATATGTCTTGACCCAATCCAGGTTACCTCCTCGGCCCTGTAATATCACCGTGTCAACAACTGTCTCTCTCGGAAACCGAACCTAAAACATGCCGATATATCAGTCAATTGTTATTAACTGGCGTTTGGTTAATAAAAAATGGTTTGAACAAGTAAATGGGAATTTATACCTTTATAACTTGTATGGGGAATGTTTATTTTCCCTTTCATTTATGAAATGTAATTTGTGAAACACATCACAACTTTGAACGATCAGAATGCTGTATTTTCTTTTCTGCATTTGACACCATGTTATCAGATCCTAAAAAACAGTATGAAAACCCGGGGGAAACTATCTCCCCTGGTTGTTACTACTGACAAAGTGACATGGACGACGCGAGTTATCGTAGAACCCCTGTGAAGTTTGGCGCGAACCTGCACGACGGCGCTCTCTTGACTTCTAACTTCCAAACTGCGCATTCAGACCATGCCTGTTCTCAAACGTGCTAGTTTAGAATTTCTTTTTTATCATGATTAGCCGTAGGTAGTTTTGAACAAACCTTCCGCTTCTTACGCGTTTTTTCAATTACTGCCAAATAAAGGCCGGGTGTGCCATTAAGGGCCTTAAAAAGATATTACCTTTCTTTCCTGTGTTTTGTAAGAAAATAACTGTTAATCGGAGTGAGGACGTTACCTTGCAGCTGATATAGGTATGGATATACATAGCAGGGATGGCTTTCAGAAAGAGTTGTTATAGGCATTTAAATAGTGCCTGAAAACAACTAGTTCTACAATTTTATGTCCCTCCGTAGTAATGGAACAACTGGCAAATTGAATATGGACTTCATGGAAACGAAGTACCGTTTCAGTGAACTGCAGAAGGAGTTCAAAGTAATTGATGTTGACAAGTACACCGATGCCCTTAATTAGGTCAGACACAAATGTTGGTTCAAACCCAGGAAATGTCGCATGGCCAACGTCTCGGAGAAGTCAATATGTGCACACTCAGGGTTCCGTACACCGCATTAGTCTATTGCTACTAAGGTACAGACATCAACAACTTTATCACAGTGTGAGGAGGTTGATAACTGTTTTGGACTCAAACTACAGGCCATGCCTAGGGATGGCAGGTATGTGAGGGAACAAAGTACACATGTGTCAACATTATTAGGTGCTGAACATATGGCTAGTAAATCGGGATTTAAACATGAAGCAGACTTTTGTGATTTACGGGGTAGAGTTTCAACCCAAGAGTCCGTCGGTTAACACTTTATTACCAAAAGCACAGGGTTGTGATATCCAAGTTGGTAATTCAGCTCCCTTGGATAGGGACACACTAGGATAATAGGTACAACCAGGTGTGACATCCACCAACTGACCACACACGGTTATCAGATGTAGGAATACATGTAAACCATTAAACTCGACTGTAAAGTACACGTGTCAACATTATCAGCCAGGACTGACAAAACAATGTTAAAAACGGAATTCAATCATGATGAAGTACAGTTAGCTAGAACTAATAATAGGGTTACTGAACATCGGTTCCACTAGTAGACTGAACCCTACCATCCATACCCAATAGGGATATAGGCGTTGACAGAGAGTAGAATAAATGTTGACTATCATAACTCGTGACACGGCCCGGTTGACTGACGAGACACAGGTTTAAGTCGTTCATGTGACCAATATCAAACTACTTTTAGAGGCAGACGTACAAGTCCCTCAAGTAGTAACCCTCATGCGATTTCTTAACTTAGGGGGGCCGGAGTAGTCACGTAATGTACGAGAAATGACAGCCCTGATGTTGGACGGATGGGCGATCATCGTTGACACAGGTGTAAATATGGCCATGTAGTCAGGGAATGGAAGATGAAAGCAATTTGCCATCAAGTTAGGTTGTATAATTTAGGAAAACGCATGGAGCCTTTAAAGAATTACTCAATTTGTTTACTGTTATGTTGGTGATGCAATCCTTTGAAATATTGAAACAGAAAATAAAAAAGACATTTAGTAATAAAGATCTCACTGTAGTGACCCATCGGGAAATCTAATGTGATAAACAGGAGGAAACAGAGAGTTTAGCCGAGTTTGCACAGCGAATACAGACTTTGCTATATGCTATTGCTCATACAAACAACACCACATAGGACCAGCTTGATGCAGAAACATCTTTGAGGGCTGTAGAGAAAAGATGCCAGCACAACGTGTGCATAGAAATAAATACTAAAACAATGAATAAGTATTTAATAAGTATTTTAAGCATCGGTAGCTAACCTCTGAGCCTTGTTTGAATCTCGAGTCCGACACCCATTCAGTTTTATATTGTCATAATGAAAGAGAAACAATAAAAAGCACTTCAACAAGTAGCGAAATAGTTAAGAAAGTCATGTCACGTATACATGTAGGTACCTGATATCACCGTCCATACCACTGTATCTGAAAGATCAGAGTTCCATAAACAGGGAGATTTCGTTTCATGCTCCCTGAACCTAACGGAAAATTTCCAAGTCGGTCAAGTTCTCCGACTCCCCCACCTACATCATCAAGAGACCAGTCTCCTATGAGGGAGGTGAAGCGAGTGGTTTCCCTTAATGGAACTCAAATCAATGCCGAAGTGGTCATGTGGATGATATAATGTTAGTAACTAACTATTTATCACATGAACGTGTGTGTGTGTGATCGACGACAGATATCGCGCTTATGGACTGGCCTAATCTCCATCCGACCTTAACTGATCTGGCATTCGTGGGACATGTTACAGCAACGCATTAACGATCGTCCACGACTTCATGTCAACATACAAGAGCTTGCTATGGATATCCGTCATAAATGTTCATGGATTCCACAAACAACTATACGGCTCCTGATTCGCAACATGCCAAACCGATGTCGTGCAATTATTGGGGCCAATCGATAACATACTCACTATTGATAATATTGCTGAACCCAGTGAAACATTTTGAATTTTCAGCGCCAGTGGGCCTTTCACTTTGTTTTAGAGGGTTATGAACCTTTTGTGACATCATACACGACACACATGAATGATACTGATAAAAAGTGGGTCAGAATTGTGTTGTTTTTGTTAAGCTTCTCTCCGGTGTTCATATCTTAAATATTTTTACCCTTTGATACAAATATTTATTTTTCAATAGTGTGCCCAGTATATAAATCTTCGTATTAATACCTTTGAATCTATAGTCATTATGAAACTACCTTCAAAAAACTTATTTATACTATTCAATACTCCTGATATAATACCTTAATCAAAGTCTTTTATGCATGATTATTATGTTGTTGTTAACCCATTATTACTTAAACATGACGTCATACCGATAAAGAAGTCTTTTACTTTTGACGATACCTGGTCCTATGTTTCTCGAGCCTATTCGCTACATGACACCAGCTTTCTTTTTTTGTTTCCTCATATCGTTACAGATACCTATGAGTTATTTCAGTCCGATACCGCTGTTGTAGTAATTATGAATACACGTGTATTAAGCTGGTAAATATCATGCCTTTTTCAGGCTTGGCCTTTTCATATCAAAAGCGATACCTGTATATACGGTTGAGTATCCTCTTCGTTCGGACACCAAGCAGAGAGCTTTCCATCAATATAAAGCCTGGCATTTTGTGGACTGAGAATACCGCCATAAAATGAAGGCTTTGAAGATGATGCATTTAAAGCCGAATCATCCACGCCATAGAATCCTGACACAAGGTATTCCGAACAGACTGTCTGGTCTAGAACAAAACAGAGAGAAAATACAAGAAAATATAATTCCCAAAGCAAGCGCTGGCGTTTTATTGTGCCGGAAAACATTGTTCCATTGTAAGATATCTCAAGCAGTGTAACTTTCGTTCCCTGAACCTTTTTTCATCAAATGTCATTTTTGCTGTTGTATTTGTGTTGTATGTTCACAGTTGCATGTCCAGTAAAACAGAAAAAAATATTGGATGTACAAAAAAATATATATATTGTAAAGAGTAACATGAAACAAATATAGGATCTGATCAGAAGGAATTTGAATTTAATTTCTTAATATGAAGAATCTGCAATTTATCTATAACTGTATGTAGGATAATATAGGAACATATAAGATAACTAGTCATGCGCACATTAGACGGACGAAAGGGTTTAGCAAACATTTACTGTAGATAGATTAGTATAAGTCATTTATATCAATTAAAACCGTCATATCACAATCTTAACATTGACAACAATAGAGATTTCCAGACAAACACTGTGTATTGGCATGTAAACGGAAAATAGAAATGTAAATCTAGTTTCAACAAAACAATGGAGAAAGGAAAACAGATGAAACAAGTAATTACTAAAATAAACATAACAAACTGGAAAACACCTTTAGGTTAAACGATATTTTCTTATAGCTGTAACTGATTCAGTCATCATTCAAAGGGAGAAAACACTTACCGGCAATGACGTGACATAAATTCCACCATGTCGTGGCAAAGTCAATCCAAAATCGAAGTTTTCTCACTTTTACATCCATCTTTCCCATAAGTGAAATTAAATTGTGTCACACGTGGTCTTATATTTTGTAATGGTAAATGTTCGGCACCTGGAGAAAACTACCTCAACCGACCAGCTCAGTCGATTACTCAAGATAGGTATGGTAACGATCTAATGGATACTAGGTTCGTGATAACGCACCTGTTTAAACGATCCACGTAAAATAAATGATGAAATCTACGCAAATAAATATTTTTTTTATAATTGTTATAGTATAGCTAATCTCAATGAACAAGCATGAACGCAGATTAATCAGAATTTTAAGGATTAATATTCTGATATAGAGTTTTCTTCTCGGGGGAAATATCCGCTGATGATCCCATGAAGTAACCTGATTCTATTCCTCTAAGTAGTAATGGAAAGATACATATATATTTCAATATTTCATTTCAAATTATCGATTTTTTTATGGAACATGACTGCATCAAGGGATGTAAAGGTGACAACAAACTTACAAATAAACTATAATTCATTGGTATATACTAACACATGAAGAAAGCGAGTGGAAACGGTATAACACTATGCTATATACGTTAGCTTCATGAACGCGGCGTGCGGTAAGCGTCGTTTTGCTGTCGTTTTGATAATAATAATAAACTTTATTTTCTGAGGATTACATACTTAGCCAACGGCTAATCTTCCATATGGTCCTCTTGTTAGTAAAATACATTATACATGTGCTAGTTAAAAGTTACATATGGTATATACATAGTAAACCTGTAGTAAGAAAGCAAGATATCACAGATAACAATTTGGATTGGAATATCACAGGATGCATAAATATCATACATAATATTTAATCAATTTAAACAGCTCCAACATTATACATATATATAATAATGTAGCAAAGAATAAAATGACATAAGAAAATACCAAATACAATAATAATGTGTGTTTACAATGTTGATACAAGAAATACTCTGGATGATAAACAGTTGATTATGGGTTAAAATTTGATAGGTAAGACAGTAGGATAATAATATGCTAAAATATTGAATACACTTTAAAACGTTCTTTATATAATTTTATCATGAGATCTGTTCATCCATGCTCCATGAGGTGATTGCTGAGGGAACGTTTAAAGAAGGCAAAACGTGTTGCCGTCCTTACCTAATTCGGCAAATTGTTTCAGAGTTGGCTTCCTGCAACTACAAAATTATTCCCATAAAACTTGGTACGATGTTTAGGAATATGTAAAATATTGTTATGGCTTGATCTTGTACAACTGATATGGATATCAGACTTTAAGTCAAACAAACTACATCAACAGGAACAAGATGATGAACATATTTGTATACCATTGAACTTATCTTGTAACGATAAAAATCAGCTAAATGTAACCAGTTTAAAACACAAGACAAATCAGCAGATGGAGTGTTCTATGGTACATCTAAAATTACCCTTGCTACCTGCTTTTGAACTTTTGTGACAGATTTTTTTAAACCTCCGCTCCAGACTATTGAACAATACAGGAAGTGGGGGAAAACGCATACATTAAAATATTTGATTCTAGCGTTCCTTAGCAGGTATTCCCTTAATTCTTCTCAACAGACACACACACATTTTTCCTAATACATATTTGACATGATCTTCCCAGCATAAACACTTATCAATTTTTACATCCAGTATTTTAGCAGACCGTACCTGGTCAAGCTCTGTATTGTTTAAAGACAGATCTAAGACGTAATCATTTCTACTATGTTTCTGCTTTGTGATTATAACCATACAGTTTGTTTTGTCAGCATTAATAATCATTCTATTTTCTGTACACCAGTTTTCGACTGCATTTAGGTCACATTGTAATTTATTTTTGACATTTAAAATAGAAGAATCAGAAGCTGATAGAGTTGTATCATGTGTGTACATATCAGTTTTACACTGTATTTCTAAGGGAAGATAATTAAATAAAGTTAAGAATAAAACAGGTCCCAATATAGATCCCTGAGGGACTCCATGAGTAATAGTCAGGCTTTGGGACAATTCACCTGAAATACTTACTTTTTGTAGTCTATTGGTGGGATAGGATTTAAAACAGCTCACCGCTAAATCATTGCTGTGGTAGAGTTTCAACTTTTGGACTAAAACTGATCTACGCAGTCAAACGCTTTTCTAATGTCTAAAAATACAACACCATTTATATAACCTTGAGCAACTTCCTGTGTCCACGAGTTAACAATATTCAATAAGGCAGTTGCACAGGAGTGATCTTTTCTAAAAACAGATTGAGGGGACACCGACAGGTTATTTGCACATAGATATTTGTAAAATTCAGTATACATGCCTCTCAAGAATCTTAGATAATGCATTTAAGACAGATATGGGTCTAAAATTGGACACTTCTGATTTAGATTCACTTCTTTGAATTGGTAAAACTTTTGCAAGTTTCCAATCACTAGGGAACTTACCAGACTTTTTACTCAGGTTACAAATATATGTAAGAGGCCTAGAAACATGAGCATTTGATAATTTGAGTACTTTAAAATTAATTCCATCCAGACCAACGGACTTATGCTCGTCAAGACCTTTAAGAAAGTTTTGGACAAATTGATCAGTAATTAGTGGGATAGAAAATATGCTGTTTTTCTTTCATAAACTCAGTAAATTTTACAAATTTTGACGAAACTTAAGAAAGGGATTCTGTTAATTTACTAGCAATAGTAGTGAAAAAATGGTTAAACGTTTCAGCTATTTCACATTTCTAAAATATTTCACAATTTCCGTTCAGGACCATGCCAGGTGTTGAAATATTCTTTTTCGGGTCAAGATCCCTTACAAATTTTCACAGTTTACTAGGATTCTTTAGGTTACTTCCGATGATAAATTGGTAATATGAGGAATTTGCCTCCTTGTGCGTTTCATTCCTAGTCTAGCCTCTCTGTCTCTCTGTATTTCGCTATTTGGTATTCATTTGTGTGTTTATGTATTTGTTGCGGTGTGTGGTGTGTGTATGTGTTTGTGTGGTGTGTGTGTGCGTGTGCATGTGTGATGGTGTATGTGTGTGTGTGTGTGTGTGTGTGTGTGTGTGTGTGTGTGTGTGTGTGTGTGTGTGTGAGAGAGAGAGAGAGAGAGAGAGAGAGAGAGAGGAGTATGTTTATGTATAAATGATGGTAATGATGATAATGTGTATATATGCCACTTGATGAATATGCTGATGAATGTGGTAATGTACCAATATATAGACATAGTAAACACTCTTGGTAGCAGTACAGTTTCTCGGTGTGGCCAGGGTGATATATTTGTCCATTAGGTTATACCATTATAAAGATTATTTTAAAATTTGAAAAATAAATCCTTGCTAAAATTGGTCATGTCATGTTGAAGTGGACAATGCGGCGCTTCGTAATTTTTTTCAGAATTATACTTTTCCATTGTGTTGGAGATTACTATAAGAGCAGTCTCGAAACTACGTCTACACACCAAAAGCTAGCTTTAGAGGAATTGAAATGTTCATATTGTTTACACGTGGTCATGTTATGGAGGATTTCCGAGTTGAAATTTGCTGAAATGTGAGTAGTTTGTTGCCATGACACTGTTGTTGATTTTAAAACAGGTCTTCAGAAAACCATTCCTGCTATATATTTGTAGCTGTAGTGTCAGGTTGAAATTAGCATTTGTTGAGGTGGTAACAATGACAGTCACATGTCAGAAATTTAAACAATTTCATCTCTCTACTATCAGTGTAATTGTTATGTAGTTTATAAATATATATGCATGTAAGGATGTATTTTCATAACCAAACTGCTACACTTGTATATCTCAAACAGAACCGTTTAAAATGAAATACAAATAAACTGTTCCCTGCAACTAATCCCCGTGATAATGTGTATATGTAAACTGATGATGATGATGATGATGATGATGATGATGATGATGATGATGATGATGATGATGTGTAAATGTAAACCGAGCGTTGATGAAAACATATAAACAGTATATCATTCTTAAAAGAATATGCAGCTTGAAAGATAAACTCAAGTCTGTTCTGAAGGATCCTGGTGTTGAATTAATACATCAAGATTTACATAAAACCTTTGTGATTGTTCCAACACACAAGATATCTAATTATTTGATCCTTGATTGTCATTTTTGTACTTCCTGCAAATAGAAATAACAAGGCTCAATGATGGCGGAATCTATACCTGTTCACTATTCAATATTAACAAAGAAAAAACTGGCAAATCATGATTCATTGAACATCAAGAAAATACCAACTTGGCAACATTATCATACTTCAAAATCTAATTCAATGAAACTAGTACAAGGATAATAATACCAGATGTTCTGAAAGAGTAAGCGTCTTCTGCTACAGTGACGACACCTATTGTGTAAGCCTTCATCAATCCAAGCAAATAATGTCACGTTCTCAAATGAGAAAAAGGTATATATCAACGGAACCAATAACCAACCTAACGAGCTTCAAATACGTCCACCTTCATGTCACACACAGAAATAGAGTAGTTCTCAATCAAGTCACTAATTTTGATTCTAATAACATTCAGTTATACTTACAAATAATGATTCGGGTACAGACCTTTCTTGTTTTTAATAGATTCCCAAACTTCATCAGAGCGCATAAAATCAACGTTTGGTTGCAGACCCATCTAGATTGAAGTTCCTCAACTTAACATTTACCTGGTCTTACGAACAAAATATTCGTATGAAAAGGTATTATACACTTGTGTCTTGTAAAATATTCAGGAATGTGCTTCACCAATAGTTTCACATTCAGTGTCGTTCTATGTATCGACATCATTCAAATGCCATAACTGCACATTTTCTATGGATACAAGGAATTTTTATATACATGACAAAAGATGAATATGGATAGAAAAATAATCATTTTGAAACTGTGTGTGCTTCATGAACTGGGCCGCAGAGGGGATTAATAGTATCATGGCGCTGCAGATTTAATCACTACGAAGCAATTGACACCGCAGATTGATAACTACTTTACTAATTCTCTGTTTCTCAGTATAAGTG